TAAAATCAATTGATTCTAAAAATATATAAAGCTCAGGTTCTTTATTTTTTTAATATACATGTGTATAACATTCACCACGTTACAATGTCAAAACATTCACAATCATTTTTTTCCGGATTAGTAATTACACGTAAAGTGTTAATTGGTATTATTAACTACACATTTACACATTTACACGTTTAAAACATGTAACAGTCTGGAAAAGGATAACAGTAATTGTGACGTAAATTTTTGAAATGTTCAATTGTATGAGATAAAAAATTCAAAGTTAATTAAAAAAACCTAATGCCTAGTAAAAAATAGTTAATTTTAAAGTAATTATAATGTTTACTTTTTTCATAAAAACAAATGAATAATTTTTTTCACAAAATGTTATTAATTTGTAAACAAACATAAACATAAATAAATTATAATTATAATCGTCTTTATAAACTTAACTGGGAATAGTTTTCAATTAGCATCTCATGTCTATTAAATGCAATATATATATATATATACTATTAACTACTAAAAAAACTGATATATAATATTTTTAAACATTTCACTACATGTATTTTACTCGACCTAAACTTATATAAATAATGACATGTTATACAGTATTTTATAATTAAACATTTAGGTACTGATTATATTTTGTAACGTAATAAGACATAATTTTGTGTGGGTGTGATCATTAAAATACTAATATGAAAATTTTTAACTAAAGTTTGGGACTTTTCTGTTAATAGGAATACCTTATTTCTATTAATTAGGGCACCTTGCCCAAATCGACCAATTTTCAAATTATAATATAATTATAAATTTATTGTATAAACTCGTCAATTTGTATTCCTAACAGAGAGATTTTTAACTTCGATGTAAAGCTGAAAAGATATTTGTTTTACTATGATGTGTTTTTTTTATTAGTCATCACTTTTTCTCAGCTCTCAACGAATCGATATCTTTCAACATTACGTCAAAAGATCAAAAATCGTGTCTAGTCGAAAACATTACCCACGAAAATTGGAAAATTTTCCCTCGTTCTCCGTCAATGGAGGAAATCTTCAAAAAAATTACAAATTTATAAATCAGTAATTTTCTAAATTTTTTTCCTTAAAACTGCCATAACTTTTTCAATAATAGATGAATAGAAACAATTTTTTTTTTAATAGATGTATTAGATATTTACCTATCATTTGGTTTATTTTTTTCAAATCTAACCCTTCACCCTGCTCACAGAAGGGGATTCAAAATTATAATGTTTTCACAAAAAATTAATTTTTTCAACTTAACTTTTGAAAATATTCCAGAAATACTGACACTTTTATACATATCTTAAATAAAGCTTATGAAATATAGTTTACTACGAACAAAAAAAAATGTCAAACTATAGATTGTTTTCATGGTGAAAATGATTAATGTATTCAAAATTACGCTATTTTTGTGTTAAAATTCTCGATTTCGTATTTTTGATTTTAGATCTCTATAACATTTTTATATTAACCTATTTTTTTATAAAATTTACATGAATATAATTTAAACTCAAATTTTTAATCCAAATATTATTTTACTTGGATAATAAGTATTCTGATATACTCACTTTTGCTATTCTAAAATGTCACTAAAGCGCAAAACCAATAGCACTTTTCAAGAAGTCATTGCCGAGATAAAAAAATGAAAAAGTATGTAATATGGTACTTGATTTGAATGTTTCGAAATTTTTACTTAAAGATAAAACCTCTAGCAAACTATAACCATTCTCGATATACCAGTCATTTTAACTTCGATACTATGTTGAAAACGTTTTTTTTTTATCGAAAATACATAAAAACGTAAAATAAATATGACGTTTATATCAAAAGTTATTGTATAACACATGTCAATTACGATTTTAAAATGGTGTATTCGTAAAAGAAAAGTTTTTTGGTAAAACGCCTACCAAAAATATTACTTCAAGAAATTAATTAAAAACTAAAGGGAGTGTATTAATAATGTTCAATAAAAAATCAGAAACCAATTTCAATTAAAAGATAAAATCTTCAAGTTATCTGCTATTATTGAGTATAAATATTATTTTATATATAGTTTCATCCATATAATTTTTTATCTAACCTCAATTCAACGTTTTTATATTTTTAATGGATTATTTGCATAAAATTCAATTCTATGCAAATAAATCTATAATACATACAACCACAATTTAATTTTCATGAACAAAAACATATAAAATGTGCATGAGATAATTCAATAATATAAAAAACAGTCAATTCCCTTCAAATATCTCAGAAACCAATAGAGAAGAGTCGATGTCATACTGTTTGAACTTTAATCGACATTTTTTGTTATTCTAAGTTTATTACATATTCGGTCACTTTAAAGCTATGTAAAGGACACTACTTTTTTCTATGTTTATCTTAAATTGCACTCGAGCAATTTATTTTATGAATCTAATAAATCGTTAGTTCTATATTTCAAATACAACCGTACTTTTACTTATTTTTATGCTGTCTTATATTTCGCTTAATAGGAAGACTCGGTATTGAGGTTTGCTATTCAATCTTTTTGAAAAAATATATATACAACTAAAATATGCAAATTAAATTTGGGATTTTTGCGCGTGTGGATGTGAGCAATTGATAGTTATATTGTTCCGTCAACGTTAGAAAAATAAAACAAGATTATATTATCGACTAAAATCCAATATCTATAATAAAAGATCTCCAACTCAATATATGAATTTCATGGTAACAATGTAAAATAAAAATGCAAGCAAAAAACTTCTAACCTTTTAAGATTTTCCACGTATCTAACGAATACACGTATGAAATAATTACGAGAATAAAATTATAAAAGATCTATTTGATCATAGAGTACAATTTTTATTTGAGATGAACTTTTATAAAGGAAAATTGTTTACGCTTTGTTGAAACACTTTTTGGGGAATGTGTTTTCAACTGTTTGGCCAAATATCTGACCTGCTGTGAAATTACGAGAATAATTGAAACCATTGTGAATTCAATTTAACAATATTCTTCACGGATTGAAAAACATTTTGTACTTTTGAAATTCATACAATTGCCTACAACTATATTATTTCGGAGTTTTAAATTTTTCATATCATTCTTAATTTCTTTAAAATAATGTCGATGCAACAAACTCTAATACTTATTACGATATTATATCAAACTTGGACTTAGGTAACTCCATACAACCGATCATTCTTTTTATATTTGCTTAAACATTTTCTTACTTTTGCATTTTAAAGTATTCTTATACATGTCAAAGAAACATATTAATCACGTTTTGTTGGATGTAACTAGTTTACGATAAAAAGAATATTTCGTTTTTTAAACNATAACTACTAGTTTACGATAAAAAGAATATTTCGTTTTTTAAACGAATGGTCATCCATTATACATTGACCCTTTTTAACGGATTTTGGTAAACTTTACTAAAAGCATTTGTTTTCAAACAACTATCTTATAAATTGTACAACTTTATGCATTGCACAAAATAAGAGATAATAATAACAAATTACAAAAACGCACAATGAAGTTATATTTTTCGCGTTATACATAACATATTGAGATAAGAAAGAAAAAGATTATTATACTAAATATTCCGTGCCCACCATATTTTTTAACAAATGTCTATGTCTATTATTATTAAATAATTTTATGATGGATTCATTTCAAGTTGTTAGGGACCAGCATTTCTGATTAATTTGTTATTGTTAATTTATTTTAATGTCGATCTATAGTTTAAAATGTCTTAGTTGCACCTACTTGAAGTGTGACTTGATGTAATTTATTTTTATCTTGTTATTTATTATTCATTAATTAAGAACAATACCAGTGTTTTTCAAAACTACCAAAGAATAATACTTTTTCAAAACGGTAAGAGGTTACTGATAGTAAATATATATATCACACTATATTATACGTTTTATGACTTGTGATTAGAATTGCCAACAGCCTACTTGGTTGTGATATTACACGAATCAAACCGTTTATTAGTAAATACGTTTAACATCTAAAGGCGGAAAAACGTCATGCAAATTAGTAACTCGACGGAAATTCTTGTCGATTTTTATCTTATTTCTTTCACATTCAATTGTTGTTATCAAATGAATCCACCGCGTAATTCACATTTAACATGACTCGTAAAAAGAAGAGGAAGTAATTCCTTCAATAAATGATAATGTGCGAATCGTCGGGGGATTCAAAGCCGTTAATGAAATACCGTCAATTTTTTTAAAGTCGATAATAAAAAAAAACTAATTTTGCATCCGAAATAAACGAAAAAAAATACAAAGCGGAATTCAAGTGTATAACTAATTTTTCGATTGAAAAAATATGCATTTTCGTTGTCAACCAAAGAAATTGTATTAAAAAATATTACTCACTGCCGCAGTAAATGATGTGCACAGATTTTCATGTTACTTCAATCGGTTTTTTTACCATTGTGTATTGGGTAAAAACTTGTAGATTATTTTTTACTTCGCTAATACACGACAACGACGACTACGATAATACAATGTGTTCAAAGAAATATTTGTGTTTTTATGGTGGAAAAAAATATTTGATTTTTACTTAACCAAAAAAAA